CCTTGTCAGAGTGAAGCCCAACTTGGGGCTCAATCTCAAGAACCATGAGATCATGACCTGAGCCAAAATCAAGAGTCAGACATTTAACCGACTGAGCCACTCAGAAGCCCCTTCGACTACAGTTTTAAATATTTTAATGTAAGAGAAGTAGTCTAAGCCTGAAGAATGGATGTGACCTATGTCCATTACCAGCTCCTTAGACTTACTCACATTTAGGTTCAGAACATACCTACAGGGAACTGTACACTGAAGAAATTCTACCATCTTCTGAGCATGCTGTTTTGAGGAATAATAGAAATCCAGCCCATCTTTAAAAAGAAAAGAAAAGTCACATGAAAATCATTCTGCAAATAAAATTTTCCTCTACTAACATGACGATATCACAAATTAAATGTGTAGTAAAAAACTAAATTATCAGAAAACATAAAGATTCACAATCTTAGGGGTGCCTGGGTGGCTCAGTCAGTTAAGCATCCAACTGCTGATTTCAGCTCAGGTCATGATCTCATGGTTCCCAAGTTCAAGCCCCACATCTGGCTCTAAGCTAACAGAGTGGGGACTGCTTGGGATTCTCTCTCCCTGCCCCTCCCCCCATCTCTGTCAAAATAAATAAACTTTAAAACAAGCAAACCAACAACAACAACAAAAAGATTCACAATTTTAATTTCAGACAAAGTAAAATTCAAGGTCAAAAGGGGAGAGAAAAACACTAAACAGAAGAATATTTTATATAATCAACAATCTACTAAGAAGATAATAGGAATGCACCTAATAACATAGAAGTGAGATGCAGAAAAAAACTATTAAAAAGAAAAAAAGAAATTAATAAATGTTAACACATGTGCAATATTGTGGGGGACTAGTATGAGACTATCAAAACCAAAATGACCAGACTAAAAATAAGAAGGATACATAGAACTTGAATAATTAACTATCAAAGTTGATTTAACTGAGATTATAGAACACAGTCCCAAGAATATATATTATTTTTTAAATTCACAGAACATTCATAAAACAATCATATCCAAATATTTTTAAGACTTCAATAAATTCCAAACATTATTAATTAGACAATATTATCTGATCACAATGAAGTAGCATTAAAAATCAGCAACAAAGGGATAATCAAAAGTAGACCTACCTGCTATGAAATGTTTATAGAGATATTCTTCCAAACAACTCAGCTAATAGGAAACTGAAATAACTCAGAGTAGACAAAAACAATTTTGAAGATGAGCTAAGTTGTTGGGAACATATACTTCCCAATTTGCAAACTTGGTAACTTTAAGTAGTCGAGACAGCATGGTACTAGCATAGGATAGATATATAGATCTATGGAACAAAACTGACAATCCAAAAATAAACTGTGACATTTATAATCAATAGATCTTTGACAGAGGATCCAAGCAATTCGCTGAGGAAAGGATGGCCTTTTCACTGGGAAAACAGGATATCCACATGGCAAAGAATGAAACTGGACTTTTGTTTTACACCATACACAGAAATTGACTCAAAATGGACTAAGGAATCAAACGTTAAGACCTTGAATACAAAATTTCCAGAAGAAAAGAGACAGGGAAAAGCTTCATGACACCAGTCTGGGCAATGATATCATGGATATGACATCAAAGGCACAGGTAACAAAAACAAACAACTGGGACTACATCAAAGTAAAAAGCTTCTGCACAGAAAAAAGAAACATCAACACAGTGAAAACACAACCTACAAAATGGGAGAAAATACCAGCAAATCATATATATCAGATAAGGAGTTAATCTCCCAGATATATTAGGAACTCCTATAACTCAAGAGCAAAAAAACTAATAACCTGGTTGAAAAGTCTGAATTTTTTAAATGGGCAGAGAAACTGTATAGACATTTCTCCAAATAAGACATACAAAAATGGCAAACAAGTATATGAAAAATGCTCAAGGTCACAAATCGTCAGGCAAATGTAAATCAAAACTACAATTAGCTATCACTTCGTACTCTTTAGGATGGCTATTATCAAAACAACAACAGGGGCGCACGGGTGGCTCAGTCGGTTAAGCAACTGACTTCGGCTCAGGTCATGATCTCACAGTTTGTGGGTTCAAGCCCCATGTCAGGCTCTGTGCTGACAGCTCAGAGCCTGGCGCCTGCTTCAGATTCTGTGTCTCCCTCTCTCTCTGTTCCTCCCCTGCTCGTTCTGTCTCTCAAAAATAAATAAACGTTAAAAAAAAATTAAAAAACAACAACAGAAAACAAGCATTGATGAGAATATGGAGAAAAGGAACTTTTGTATACTCCAGTGGAAATGCAAAACAGTATAGCCACAATGAAAAATAGCATGGAGGTTCTTCAAAATATTAAAAATAGAACTACCATATGTTCCAATAATCTCTAAGTATTTATCTAGAAGAATTGAAATCAGAATCTCAAAGAGGTATCAGCACTCTCATGTTTATTGCAGCATTATTCACAGTAGACAAGATGATAGACATTTGAGTTGTTTCCACAACAGAGGAAAACATAATGTATATGTACATACAATGGAATACTATTCAGCCTTAAAAAGGCAGGAAGTTCTGCAATATGCAACAAGATGAGTGAACCCTAAGAACATTATACTAAATCAAATAAGTCAGTCACAGAAAGACAAATACTGCATGATTCCACCAATATGAAGTACCTACAATACTCAAATTCATGGAATCAAAGAGTAGAATGATGACTGCCAGGGACTGAAAGGAAAGGGAAATAGGGAGTTACTTACCAATTAATGGGCATAAAGTTTCAGTGCAGCAAGATGAATAGGCTCTAGAGATCTGCTATATAACACTGTACTTACAGTCAACAATACTATATTATACACTTAAAATTTGTTAAGAAGAACATCTCATGTTAAGTATTTATATATCACATTAAAAAAAAAGATAACATTAAGAAAATGAAAAGACAGCCTATGGGTTAGCAGAAAATATTTGCAAATCATATGTATGATGAGGAGCAACTGGGTGGCTCAGTCGGTTAAGCGTCTGACTTCAGCTCAGGTCATGATCTCACAGTTCCTGAGTTCGAGCCCCACATCAGACTCTGTGCTGACAGCTCAGAGCCTTGAGCCTGCTTCAGATTCTGGGTCTCCCTCTCTCTCTGCCTCTCCCCTGCTTGCACACTTGCTTACTCTCTCTCTCAAAAATAAATAAACATTAAAAAAAAAAAAAAAACAACTCCTAAAACTTAGCAAGACAAACAATCCAATTAAAAAATTGGCCAGGGGCACCTGGGTGGCTCAGTCGGTTAAGCGTCTGACTTCAGCTCAGGTCATGATCTCACAGCTCGTGAGTTCGAGCCCTGCGTCAGGCTCTGTGCTAACAGCTCAGAGCCTGGAACCTGCTTGGGATTCTGTGTCTCCCTCTCTCTCTCTGCCCATCCTCCACTGTGGTCTCTCTCTCTCTCTCTCTCTCTCTCTCAAAAATAAACATTAAAAAAAATTAAAAAATGGGCCAAAGATCTGAATAGTTATTTCAGATAAATTTCATCAAAATGTATTTTGATAGTTATTTCATCAAAAAAAGATACAGGAATGGTTAATAACCTTATGAAAAGATAATCAACATCATTAGTCATTACGAAAATGTAAATTATAACCACAAAATGAGATACCACTTCATACTACCCTCTACACTGGCCATAAACAAAAAGAGACCATAATATTGGTGAGGCAATGTAGAAACTAGAACCATCAAACACTGCTGATAGCAACGCAAAATGGTACATGCACTTTGGAAACTCTTCCAGTTTCTTAAAAGCTAAACATAAAAAAAAAAAAGATAAACATAAATTATAAATTTACCATATGACTCAGCAATTCTATACCTAGGTATATACTAAAGAGAAGAAAACAGCTGAAACTCTTGCTGAAAATAAAAGAAATATGCAATATATTGTGGAAAAAGGTAGCTATAGCTATAAACACCAGGTACATAGAATCAATATGTATTCAAGAAAACTTATTTTTATATTCATAGATTTTTATGTTTATATATATGTATAAATATATATATTTATATTTATAAATAGATTTATATTATATCAGAAAACAAACTTTCAATTAATTCAAGCAAAATAAAATTTTAAAAAGTAGAAAAAAATTTTGTAATATTTATGGTGATGAAAATTAACTAGACTTACTGTGGTGATCATTTAGCCATATATACAAACATCAAATCATTATGATGTACATCTGAAACTACTATGTTACATGTCAATTATATCTCAATTTAAAAAATTTTAAGTAGAAGAAATGAGTAATTAAAACAAAACTTTAAAAAGTGTATGCAAGAAAGGAGATATTTCAAATTAGTGGGAAAGGCTAGATTAACCTAGGAAAAACTCTAACTGGTTAACATTAAAAATCCCCCCAAATAATTTACTTTTAAAAATATAACTGTGGGGGGCGCCTGGGTGGCGCAGTCGGTTAAGCGTCCGACTTCAGCCAGGTCACGATCTCGCGGTCCGTGAGTTCGAGCCCCGCGTCAGGCTCTGGGCTGATGGCTCGGAGCCTGGAGCCTGTTTCCGATTCTGTGTCTCCCTCTCTCTCTGCCCCTCCCCCGTTCATGCTGTCTCTCTCTGTCCCCAAAATAAATAAACGTTGAAAAAAAAAAAAAAAATTAAAAAAAAAAAAATATATAACTGTGGGAGTATACAAAGCTTTCCTATGTCAGGCACAAAATTTATAAGCCAGAGCTCTATAACTAAAAAATAAAAAATTTAAATGATAAAAGGCATGTGACAATGCAAAAAAGTATCTGCTCTCTTAGGCTCACATTCAAATGCACACTAGCTCTCTCTAAACATACATACATAATATACACATACATACAATGAGATCAATATCCAGAATAAGACACAAAATTAATGAGGAAAAAAGACAATTCACATAAGAAGCAAGAGATAAACATAAATGGCTAACACATATATAAAAATATTAACCCTCATTAGTAATCAAGGAAATGCAAATTAAAACAAGATACCATTATTTTACCTACTAGAACAGCAAAAATTACAAAGACCAATTTGATAGTGTTGGCAAGTGCTGAGACTGCAAACTGGCACTATTCTGAAGACAATCTAGCAGTACATGTAAAAATTTAGTAATTGCATACTCCTGCCTAGTCATTTCTTTTTTTATTTTTTTTAAGGTTTTATTTATTTTTGAGAGAGAGGAGAGAGACAGAGTGCAGGCAGGGAAGGGGCAGAGGGAGAGGGAGACACAGGAACTGAAGCAGGCTCCAGACGCTGAGCTGTCAGCACAAAGCCCGACGGTGGGGCTCAAACCCATGAGATAGTGATCTGAGCTGAAGTTGGATGCTTAACTAACTGAGCCACCCAGGTGTTCCCTGTCATTTCAATTCTTGAACTCAATCTCACAGAAAACCCACCAAATATGCACAAACATTAGGATATTTAATACAGTGTCATTTGTAGCAGCAAAAAATGGAATATCTTGTGGACCAATAAGATATAACTAATTATACAAGGATTAACAAATATATATATGCACACACACACAGTGGTTAAAAATAATGAAATAGAACCACGTTCAAAGACATGGCAAGGTTTCCAAATACATTAAGATGGCAGGTCACAGAATATTATAGAATGATCCCCCCCATAAGGGGAAACAAACGCTACCACAATTTACATACAGAACACATTATTATATGATCTTGTTTTAAGGGACTAACACTGGGGATAACAAAGGGATAAATGGAACATAGAGGTCTTTTATTCATAGATATTTTTATCTCTGAATTTTTAATATTATTATGATTTTAAAAACAAAGTTACAAATAAACCACATTCAAAAAATTTATTTAAATCAAATCAAGAACTAGTAGGGGGAAAAAAACAGATTAAATCCTCTGGATGAACAAAGGGCTGTTAAATTTGCAATATTTGGGTTTTGAAAATGAGTGCAAAAGTATGACCCAGAACTGGGGCGCCTGAGTGGCTCAGTCGGTTGGGCGTCTGTCTTCGGCTAAGGTCATGTTCTCACAGTCCATGGTTCGAGCCGCACGTCAGGCTCTGTGCTGACAGCTCAGAGCCTGGAGCTTGCTTCTGATTCTATGTCTCCCTCTCTCTGGCCCTCCCCCTGCTCATGCTCTGTCTCACTCTCTCTCTCAAAAATAAACATTAAAAAAAAAAATTTAATAAAAAAAAAAAAGTATGACCCAGAACTTATCCAAGTCTTTTGCTACAAAACAATTCTGTGAGTACATATCTGTCAGGGTGATGAGAAATAATAGTGTTTTGCTTTCTTAGCTAGAATATTTGGATCTCCTCATCCCCCAAAAAGTTACTCAAAACCAAGTTACTCAAAACAATGATGTATTTTTGCCTGGTGACTAGCCACAAACAACCAGGCACTATGTTACACAGACAAGAAGGGAACTTACCTTAAGTATACCTTAAGAATTCCTTAAGAATACCTTAAGTATTCATTAAATTGTGTTTTACCAATTTAGACTATTAACCTTATGTCTACTGGTAAAGCATTCAGGTCAGACACAAAGCTTAAAAGATGTTCTCCAGGTGACATCACTACATATATTCTCTCCCCCATGTAACCCAAGACCACACTTCTCAAAAGTACTTTCCCAAGACATACAAGATATAAGCAACAAATCAGTTAGTCACAGTGGAACTCAAAAATGAGGATATGATATAAGAATTTGGTCATTCCTTCAAGAACAGGTATCTCTAAGCCTATACTTTAGAGACTAGGAAAACAATATACGTACATGTTCACCAATAGCAAACAAATATTAACCTTTAGCAAGAAACTTCAAGAGTCTGCTTAAGAATATTTATGTTTTCTACTATCAATCAGAGAAATATTTATCCATCATCTAATATGTATACTATATCAACAGAAAGTGCTAAGACAGAACACACTCTAAAGAGCCATTATGAAATCATACAAAAAATTTTAAATTCCACCTTTAAGAAATCTAAATATATCATTTGTATATCAAAAACAAAAATATTGGGGCGCCTGGGTGGCTCAGTCGGTTGAGCGTCTGACTTCAGCTCAGGTCACGATCTCACGGTCCGTGAGTTCGAGCCCCGCATCAGGCTCTGGGCTGATGGCCCAGAGCCTGGAGCCTGCTTCCGATTCTGTGTCTCCCTCTCTCTCTGCTCTTCCCCTGTTCATGCTCTGTCTCTCTCTGTCTCAAAAATAAATAAACGTTTAAAAAAAAAATTAAAAAAAAATATTACAGGGGCATCTGGGTTGCTCAGTTGGTTAAGTATCCAACTTTGACTCGGGTCACGATCTAGCAGCTCATGGATGGGTTCAAGCCCTGCGTCCGGCTCTGTGCTGACAGCTCAGAGCCTGGAGCCTGCTTTGGATTATGTCTCCCTCTTTCTTTCTGCCCCTCCCCTGCTTGTGTGTGTGCACTCATGCTCTCTCTTTCTCTCTCTCTCTCAAAAATAAACATTTAAAAACTACTACAAAAGAACTTACAAATCTCAAAAATAATTTTTTTCCAAACACAAATCAATCTCTGCATAAAACAAGATTTCGATGAATTTTCCATCATAGCACTTTATATTATATTAATGCAGCTACTGACTTACTCATCTGGTAGCTACTTAGTGTAAATTTAAATTAAAATAGAAAAAAAATTAAGAATTTAGTTCCTCAGTTGCACCAGATACATTTCAAGTTTCAATAGCCATATACAGCTAGTGGCTACCATAATGGACAATCTAGATAAAGAACTAAGATTTTTTTCCTTCCTAACAGAAGAAACTATTCTTTTGGACAGTACTATTCTAGCCATTGTCAATAAAGAGAAGACTTCTTACATTGGTTGAAATAAATTTTGACATCATTTAAATGTTTTCAAATTTTAACTCACCATGAATTTCTTTGATACGAAGTGTATTCTGATGCATTCCATATTTCAAAATCAACTGTTCCAGATAGTAGAAGGTTTTTTTGTGCAAAGTCTAAACATAAATGCATTATTAGATTAATAGATGAAATGCAAACAAACAAAAAAACCATCTATAGATATAGCACACTGATTTTTAAAACAAAACAACCTCTAAAGATGATCTTAAATGTGATAGTGACCTATTTTTAAAGATGAATGTTGCAGAAACCTAGACCATCCCTGGTGCCTGAGGATTTGGAAAGAAAAAGGAGGAGGTTTTACTAACTGTTTATAACCGACAAAGATAAAATACAAGATGAAGGATTCACTCATCATCTTTCTGTCAATACCTTTTGCCTCACTTGAACCACAGCCTTCCAGAAATCTTTAGCTTCTACTCTGTGGCAATCTCCACACATCTGAGGCTGAACAACATAATCCACCACAAACACTTGCTGAAGGATAGCACCATTCATTACCTGGTAAGGGGGAAAAAAAAAATCACTCCTTCATTCTTTCCTTTTTATTTAGTAACATTTTTCTTAAAAGAAAATAATATTTCAAATTTAAGAACTTTAACATTTAAAGTTACTGTGGGGAGCCTGGGTGGCTCAGTTGGCTAAATGTCCAACTCTTGATTTCAGCTCAGGTTATGATCTGACTGTGAGTTTGAGCCCCACTGTCAGTGCAGAACCCCCCTGGGATTCTGTCTCCTTCTCTCTCTGCTCCTCCCCTGGTTGCTATCTGTCTCTCAAAATAAATTAAAAAAATATATATATATAAATGAAAAATAAAAATAAATTAAAAAAATTAAAAAACAAAGTTACTATTTAACTTAAAGTCTTTTTCCATGAATGCTTTGAGGACATCAATAATAAACCAATTAAAAAACTATAAAAATAAGTTATAGTATTAAGAAAAACACATAAATTTAATTTGTAGGATTAAATTTGCATTTCATATTTACTTTTAAAGTGGCTGTGAAGATAGTCTTTGAAGAATCTATGTATCTATATACTTGTGTGTGCGTATTTGTGTGTGTGTGTGCGCGCGCGCAGAATTCATCCTTAGAAGAAAAAATAAGACAAAGAAAACTCTCAAAAAAACAAACGTTCCTTACTTAAATTGTTACCAAACATGGTCAATCACCAGAAATCACCTGGGAAGTTTTTAAACATAGATTTCTGTGTGTCACATCCAGACGGATCCAGTTGGATTCACTTAATGTGAATTACTGTGATGATTAGCCAAGTTTGAGAAACACTGTCTTAGCTCATGCTTTTACTTCAATCTTTTTCCTAACTTTTAAAAATTACTTTAGCCCACTAATCATTAGCAATAGCTGGTCTTACTAGCAACCTGATCATCTGTGCAGATGACCCAAAAGAAAACAAAAGTTAAAATTAAGATTACTCTTTCCCTTTTAAGCTATTCAAGCCATAAGGTAACTTACCAATATCTCCTCATTTTCACTACCTACAATTTAGACATGCTGAGAAACTTTGTATAGCTTACCTCTTTCTGAATAGTCAGTTTAACTTTAAGTCTCTTAGAATGGGGCTCAGTCCAAACAAAACCTGCATCTACAAGCCGTACCTTCAAAAAAAAAACACAAAAAGAAACCTAAATTCCCACCAGAGAAAAAGATGAAAGAACTCATTAATAGATTTCATAAGATGTTTAAGGAATCTGATTGGCATCACTACTCAACATCATCAGTAAAAAAAAAAAAAAATTATTAGAGGTATGGCAACAAAAAGAGCAAATAAAAGGACGATCTAATGACTTCATCATTTACAAGAAATCTCACGAACAAGTTTCTAGTTGGATTATTCTCTCTACATTAAATACATTGGTTTTTAAAAAAATTCATTAAAGGGAGTCTCATATTGAATACTGAATCCACGATGGTAACTTACCGCTAAATCAGCAGAGGCCAAAAAAGTTTGCTGTATGTAAAGAACTGAATGTAGCCCAATATGGCTAAAATGGGTGTTTCAAGGAAGAAGAGGATTGGAACAAAAATGGAGGCTGTTTCAATAACTTGGGCAGAAAGTGCAGGTGACCTGAACTAAGAAGTGCTGGAAATAAAAGAAGCAGAAAGACCCAAGAGTTATTTAGGAGATAAGATTTACAGGATTGAGTGATACTGTATATGGGAAGGATGAAAAGAACAGATTCTAAAATGATGCTCAAGTATCCAGCTTGGGCATCCAGGTAATAACTATTTTTCTGAAACAAAGGATAGATTTGATGGAGAGAAGATACTATTTTTGGTTTCAGACATTTAAGAGGGTTTATGTATGAGATACCCAAATGAAATTGTTCAGAGGATAGTAAGATATATATTTGGTTTGGAGCTCTATGGAGAAAACTGAGCTGAAGAGAACAGATTTGGGAGACATCGGTGGGCAGATGATGATTTTGTCAACTCTTGTCTGATGAGAACTAGACTTGCTAGTGTAGATGCAGCACTCCAGGGTAAAACCTTCCTCACATGACTGGTTCCCCTAAAGCAAAACCCAGGTACAAGAGGGTGACAGGCAGTGTTTAATTCCCTCAGTCTCCATCTGCAAGGGTCAAGAAGGCAGCCCAAAGGCTCTAAGACTGCCCTTCCCTCAGCTTCCAAACTCATCCACAGGAATGGAGAGAAGACCCTTGACACCTACTTCAACATTCCCTAACACAGCCTCACCACACTGTCAGTCCTCAGACAATCAGAACTGATCAACTTAACTGGGCCCTTTATTCTTCTTTACAACATCCCCAAACATTTCAGTCACCCCTCATCTCCCACACTCCAATTACACATATTCCCTATTCTGTCCCATCTAACACTCCTCCAAAAATTCTGAAACCCTTTCACAGCGCCCTCTGGAACTCAACATTCACTAACACAACAAAGCCTCCTAAATGCTCAATCTTTTTGCTAAACATTCCCTTCACCTTCTAGATCTCGTTACATAGAATGCTCCCCTAAAGCTAATTAAGGACTAATTGTTCTGTTTTAATTCTTATCACTGGACCAAGAGCTAGACAGGTGTCCTTCTTGCTCTTAACTGCTAATTCCAAACCACCTCCCTGCCTCCTCCTTAAACACACCCAGTTTTGAATCTGAAGGCTATGCTACCCACTCTATTATAGTCATCTGTTAACCCCTGAGTCACCCCTCTCATTTCTCAAAGACTTTAGCTCCTGGCTCACTGTTGCTGTTTCCAACAATATTAGTACTTAGTGATTTCAATATCCTTGCAATACCCTAGCATCTCCCTTCTTTGAGTTCCTCTTACAAGATCTCGTCCTCCTTCTATCTCAGCTATTCATATCCTTTTACCAGTAAGTTTTACCAATAACTGAAACTTCTCCAAAATCTCAACTCTAAACATCCCGTCTCCCACCTCTTATCTTTCCAGCTCATTTGCTCTAGCTCCTGGGCACTAAAACCCCTGCAACCTATTGCAACCCACGATCTATTCACCCTACAACCTTTTCACTATCTCTCATACCTCTTTATCTACTCACTTCCATCATATCCTAGCTTAATTTCAAGATCAATCATCAAAACCATTCCCATGCATACACTCAATTCCCTTGGTCCCTCTCTCACTTTACCTTAGTCATCTGGCTAAATCACAATCTTTGTTAAATTCAGTACACTGCCTGCTCTATGCCTTACCTGTACAACTGATGGGGTTACAGAAAGAAATACACATCATGCTAGTCTTTAAATTTTTAACAGTAACCTTTGTAACCATACGACATCATTCTAGTACATTCTCTCTCTCCCATTCACTGGAGGACTATTTCACAACTTCTCCTCCACCCTCAAACATCTAATAGTTTTTCCCTCATAACTACTGCCCAGACTTCATTTCTCAATTAGAAAAGTAATCAGAAGATTCTCCAGAAGTTCCCACTTACCAATACATTCTCTCCTGTTACCACAGATGAACTGTCCTTGCTCCTATCAAGACCAACCTTAAGAATGCACCATTAGAGAGCAGAGATACTTGTTTTGTTCCACAAAAATATTCCAGGTTCCCAAAATGGTGCCTGGGAGAGAGTAAGTGCCAAATATTTGTTGATATTCTTCCACAAGTATGTTATATCCTATCTCTTTTCCACTCTTCAAGGGCATGACCCAGGCAATTATTCTGTCTCTGTGCAAATTGTTCCCTCTGTACTCTACAACTCCTAGACAACTTACAAATATAACTGTAACATCTCACATCTTGAGAAATGGGTCCCTTTCCCTTATTTCCCTCTACCCATTGCCCCATTTGTTTCCCTTTAGAGCAAATCTCAAAAAAAAAAAAAAAAAAGGAAAAAAAGAATTACCTATACTTGTCACCTCCAATTCCTGTCCTGTTCTCTCATTTCCATTCAAATCAGGTCTTTTATCTCCACCACTACACATAAATTGCTCATTAAAGTCATTAGTAATCTTCACATTGCTAAATCTACAGAATTCATGACTTGACCCATTAGCTGTAAATTACACAATCACTTCCTTTGTAAAATACCTCCCTTGTGTTCCAAGACACTACACTCACCTAATTTTTCATCTATTTCATCTATCAACTCCTTTTCAGTGTCCTTTGATTTGTCATCTTCCCAAGCTTTTATCAGTAAAAGATCCCAGAATTCAGTCCTCAAATTGCTTCCCTTTTCTAGCCAAACTCCCTGGGAAATATTCAAGTTCACAGCTGTAAATAGCATCTATATCCCAAATTCATTACCTCCAGTCTGGACCACTCCCCTGCTGATTTATCCAGCTGCCTACTATTTCTACTTCCATGTTTAATGGACATCTAAGTACCACTATGAGATAGCTCTAATCTCTCCCACCCTGACCTGCTCCTTTTGAAGTCTTCACTACCTACTAACAGCAACTCCCTCCTTCTGGTTGCTCAAGAATCATGGATGTCAAATCATACTTATACTCATCTATCACATACACACATCCAGCTTCATAAGTAAATCCTACTGACTACCTTCAAAGTAGATGCAGAAACCGTCCATTTCTTACCACCTCTACTACTGACCCAAATACCACCATTACTTATGATTACTACAATCACTCCCCATAGGTCCCTACTTCTACCTTCACCCCCACCTCCTTCACATGCATTCTAAACACAACGGCAAAGGATCCTGCTAAAACATAAATCATTCATCTTGCTACTACTCTACACTATACCTACTCTACCCATTACATTCAGAGTAAAAACCTGACCTTCCATGACTTTCCATGATTGCTGTTTTCATCCCACACTACTTTTCCCCTCCTCACTCCACTCTCTCCACACAGGGATGCTCCTGCCTCTACTTGTTTTCTCTACCCATTAAGTCTCTTCTCCAGATTCCTGCACAGCTCCCTCTCATACTGCTTTTACGGTTTACTCAAATGTCACCTTATCAGTGAGGCATTACCTAACCACTCTATTTCACTTGTTT